AATGGCTACGTGTTATATGATGCTAGTCCCTGTTCTTCGTGCTAGTTGCATCTGTATGTTATGTGGTGTACCCAGTGTTATTTCATGTTACGTCATAGTTGTATTACTCATTGTCTCTGTAAATCTATCTGTTCACAGATGATATCATCATCTGCCGTTTATAATCAATGAACTAGACAGCGAAGTCTTTCTTCATGATGATTTCATCGCTTTGAGAGCAGCCACACTAGCGTTCTTCATGACGGTGTCGGCTTTATGAGAAAGTTTGAAAGCAAGTGATCACCCAAGATAACTAACCCACCGGTCTTCAACCCACACAACTCGGCAACATGGTCATATGCCCCTTCCCAGTCTGTGACTATGAAATCGGCGAAGGAGACGCCCAGATTGTGGTGGCACTGCTCAATATACATGCCCCCAAACACACGCTCTAACTGCCCACCCTCCTGCATCACCTCAACCAACCAGAACTCGACCGTCCCAGAATTGACATCGGGGTAGAGGACGAAGTATGGAACGGGTTCGTAAGGAGATATGAGGCTTTCAAAATAGGATGGGGCACAAACGAGGTCACTGCTTCAATGCAACTGTTTCAATGTGCGTCAGAACCCCTGGGCGATCAGATACTGAAGGCAGACCCTAATATCCAGTCGAAACCAGTCAAGAATGTCAAGTCAATAATGCGGGAATTTGCTGTGATACCAATCACCATTGGTGTGAGAAGGGCAGAACTCATGCAGCTACGCCAGGCACCTGACGAACAATTTCGCATTTTTGCTGCCAGGGTGAAGGGCAAGGCTGAAACCTGCAGCATGTTCACAACGATCGCTAAATACACAAGCAACGAAGTTGTTCAAGCTGACTACACAACTGAGACAGTCAGGGACGTCCTCCTGGCAGGAATTGCAGACCTCGACATTCGCAGAGAGGCCCTTAGTACACGGGACATTCAGAAGAAAAGTGCCAATGACGTCATTGCTTTCGTTGAAGGCCGCGAGATGGCTAGAAATGCCCCGCCTAGCACATCCAAGTCAGCACTCTCAGCGTTCAAGAAGAGATCAATCGTATGAGAATAATTCCACCAAGAGGCCCACTCCTCCAGATACCAACAGATCTAATGATCTCACTAAGGGGCCTTCTCCTCCAGATACAAACAAACCGGTGTCATGCCCTGACTGTGGGGAGAAATGCAATGTATTCAAGCAAAGGGCAAACAGCTCCTGGAACACTGAACCCCACACGAAATGCCTCAATTGTTGGCAAGCTAGATCTAGTCGTCACAGAGAAGAGCTCACATCTCTCAGCTCCTTGTCAAATGAGCCGGCTGTGTCCCAGACTGGTGCAGTGGCTCTGCATCGCGAAGTTATCTCCAAAAGTGACCTAAACAAGTCTAGGAGCTCATGCCATCCTCGTGCAGAGCTCTGCATCACAATAGCCGGGCTCAAGAAGGACACAGACCAGCCTGAAGCCCTCGTGAGAGGTATCGTGGACAGCGGGGCCATGTCAAACCTGTGGGGTCTAAAGAACTTCACTGAAAGTGGCTTCTCAAAATCTGACCTTCTGCCTGTGACCATGGACGTGAGAGCCAACAATAAAAACCCAATAAACATTGTTGGAGCCTTTAATGCATTAGTTAAGGATAAATCACCCAGTGGTGGAATTATTGCTAGCACATGCTTAGTGTACATATCAGACTAAGTGAATTATTTCTTTTTATCATATTATGACACGATGCTTGATTTAGGCATCATTGATAAATCTTTCCCAACAATTGGAACATGCATGAACAGATGTTTTGAGCCAACAGCAAACGAACCAGAAAAGGAACATCAACAACATGTGAAGTTAATTAACTCTGGTTGCGCTGATGCACAACAAAACGAGCACGACTGCAATTGCCCTCAGCGAGGGTCCATACCCCAAAGGCCCACTTCACTGCCTTTTGCTCCTGTACCGGAGAACAATGAGAAGAAGTGTGATTGGCTGCTGAAGAGGTACAGTAGGTCCCCCTTCAACACATGCCCTCACAGGCCCTTGCCTTGCATGACAGGACCCCTTATAGAAATACAAGTTGAGGAGACTGCCAAGCCCAAAGCCTGCCACACTGCAGCACCCATACCCCTTCACTGGCAAGAGCAGGTCCATAAAGACCTGGTGCGGGATGAAGCTTTGGGTGTAATAGAAAAGGTTCCCTTCGGAGAGCCAGTTACCGGGTGCCACCGCATGGTAGTCACAAGGAAACACGATGGCAGCCCGAAAAAAAGTGGATCTCTCCCCTCTCGATAAAGTTAGGAAACGAGAAACCTTTTCGGTAGAAGGCCCTTTTCCTCTTGCGAGGCGCATCCCTGGTAAGACATGACAGACCGTTACTGGTGCATGGAATGGCTACTACAGTGTGCCACTAAGAGAAGACCTCACTACCTTCATAACCCCATTTGGGAGATGGTGGTACACTTGAGCACCACAGGGCTTTCTTTCCACACGGGGTGGATACAGCAGACGGTTTGATTCCATCCTGTCAAACTTCGAGAGGAAGGAGCGATGTGTAGATGACACATGTCACTATGACGACAACCTGGAAGCACATTGGTGGAGGACCCTTGATCTCCTATCCACATGCGGAGCAGCTGGCATAGTCCTCAACCCAGACAAGTTCCAGTTTGCACAAAGAGAGGTTGACTTCGTCGGATTCAGGATACCAGAAGACAAAATCCTCCTGCTGCCAAAGCACCTTAATGCAATCAAGTCATTTCTCACCCCTACAAGCCCAACAGACATTCACAGTTGGTTTGGGCTGATCAATCAGGTGGCCAATTTAGCCCAGCATAGAGATGCACTGAAGCTCTTCCGATCTTTTCTCAGTCCCAAATACTAATTTTTCTGGTCCCCAGTCCTGGACAGGACATTTGAGGAATCCAACCTTGCGGAATTTTTTTTTACATTAAAAGACCCACATGCCTTCGCCCAGACAGGTCAAAGAAAGATATTGGCTACGTCCTTCTACAGAAACATTGCACCTGCGAGTCTGCGATGCCAGACTGTTGCGCTGAGGGCTGGAGAATCTCCCTAGCAGGATCACGCTTCCTCAAAGGTGCTGATGAACGTTACGCAGCAATAGAAGGTGAAGCACTAGCAATAGCATGGGGTCTGGAGCAGATCAGGTATTTCACCCAAGGCAGCCTGGACTTGTTGATAGTCACAGACCACAAACCCCTGAAGAAAATTTTTGGGGACTGGACGTTGGATGAGATATCAAACACACGGCTCTTTCGTTTGAAGCTGCAAACGTTACCGTAGCACTTCCGCATCGAGCATATGCCAAGGATCACAAACAACGTTGCTGATACAATGTCAAGATACCCCTCACCACATGTGAACAATACACCGTCCATTGCAGACATGTCAGAAAGTATAATAGCAGCATCCATAAGCAGTGATGTGGTAGATGTCACCACCATATCATGGGACTGCATAGTCACAGAAACCCAAAAGTACAGCGTACTCTTAGCCCTACTCAGTGCACTTATATCATCAACTGATCGACAATGGGAAGATAGGCCAGAACTGAATGAGTACGCGAGGTATCGTGAGTCCCTATATCTCTTGGATGGTGTCATCCTTTACAAAGATAGGGTAGTCATACCATCGTCCCCAAGGAAGACCATTACTGAGGTTTTCACGTTGCTCACCAAGGAGTCTCATCAAAGGAGATACGGTCTCAGTCCATTGTGTTCTGGCCAGGAATGACTAAGGACACACAGCATGTTCGAGCCAGATGCACGGATTGTAACAAGAACGCACCGTCTCAAGCCCAACTTCCTTCAAACCCTGCCCTCCCCCCTCAACCCCATTCGAGAAAGTTTTTGCAGATTTCTTTGACTATAGGGGCCACCACTATGGGGTGATCGGTGACCGTCTTTCTGGGTGGCCCGAGGTTTATTCCACCGGTACAGGAAGTGTCCATGCTGGAGCAAGAGGTTTTATAGCATGTCTACAGAAATTCTTTGCCACATTTGGAGTACCAGAGGAGTTGTCATCAGAAGGCGGCCCTGAAATCACTGCCAACCAGACAAAGGATTTCCTGTCCACATGGGGTGTACACCATAGGAAATCATCCCCACACCACCCACAATCCAAAGGGCGTGTAGAAGTAGCTGTCAAATCCGCCAAGCGCCCACTCAAGTCCAACATCAACCCCTCAGGAAGCCTTGACAGCGACAAATTCCTGAAAGCCCTTCTGCAACTTAGGAACACTCCAGACCCCGATTGCAAGTTGTCACCTGCTGAGATTGTCTTCGGGCATCCTATCAGAGAAATATTCTCTTTTGCTAATAGGCTTGAAAAGTTCAGTAATAAAGCCATACAACCCACTTGGAGAGAGGCATGGGCAGCCAAGGAAACTGCGCTACGGACAAGGTTCGTAAAGACATCAGAGAAGCTCAACGAGCACGCAAGAAATTTTCCAAAGATGTCCATTGGTGACAGATGTTTCGTTCAGAACCAGACTGGCAATGGTCCTAAAAGATGAGACTGAACAGGCTTCATTGTTGAAACCAGCCCCAATGACCAATACAGAGTCAAGAATGATGGCTCAGGATATCTGACATCAAGAATCCGCGCGCTTCCTTTGCCAGTTCCAGCCTGCCACTTTGACGATACAACTGGCACCGGCACGTAACAACTCAAATGACTTTGAGGTTACTTTGCCTTTGGAGGAGGAGATCCATACAGGATATGAGTATGCGACTGAGCCAGTCAAAGGGAAGAGGATTGCCCCAAGCCCTTTCCCTTAGCCCTAATCTCCAGAGGCACCTCAGGAGGCAAGGAAAAGTCTCCCCGCAGCCCTGAAATGCCTTCTCCCACACAGTAAAGAGGGGTTACAGGAGGCGGTCAAACCTCAGGAGCATTGGGGAGGAGGGGGGA